TTATATTTTCTAAATCATTATTGAGGTTATTGTAATCAGCATTACTATGATCAAAAATTTCTCTCTTATATGCATATTGTTTGTGTATATTGAATTTCAGGTCCAGTCCAACAAGGGAATGTGAACTACAAAATGGGGCTGAAACAAATGTACTATCAACCAAAGTTGGATTGCTAGTAATTATAAGATCTATACAAGTACCCTCAGTTTTTGTAAAATTGGTTGGACAATCGATTAAATTTGTTAAATTTAATTTTTGTAGCATTAGTTTGAAACTGCTACTTTGATTTGATGAAACATTAACATTAAAATCTCCTAGTAGGAATATCGGGAGATTACATTCAAGTGCCTTTTCCAAATTTGAGTTAAATAAGTCCCAATAGCTAGCTAGTGAAGATGGGGGCCTATAAAGTACAGCTAATAAAATTTTTTTGTTGCCATTATGTATTTCTGACCAAAGAATTTCTAATCCATCAATTAACAAATCCATTCGAAAATGGTAAGCTAATTGGTCCGAAATGTACATAGCAACACCGCCACCATGTCTATTTCTATCTTTTCGAATAGGTGGGTGAAATCCTTCTATTGAAATATTTTCATTACTTATGCTATTATCTAAATGCGTTTCACTAAGGGTAATAATATCATATGTTGATAATTCTGAAGTTATGATATCTAATTTTGGTAGTAGACTACAAACATTGTTATGGACAATACTTAAAGGTTTGCTACTATGGCTACTTTTAAGAAAACTGGGGCCAGGATTGGTCTCTATGCACCCTAATATTAATAGTATATATATAATAATACGACGAAAATGTAGATTTAAACATACACAATAGTCTAACTGATAGTTTATCCATGACATCCTAAAAATAGTTATAATCACCTTAATCATTTGTATCAAAAATCAATATATTTGATTTGGATGGCATGGATTCACACATCGGATATGCTGTGTATAAAAGTAAAAATGAAACCGGTATGGTTGGAATAAGACAAAACGCATAAGAAATAAATACGAACTGAACAAAAAACATATATACAAAAAACACAAATTTGACTTGTAAACACAAGAGTATCAGTAAACTGAGTATGAGAACGTAAGAACACATTTACAAAAAGGTACAGTATGGGATTTGGTGTATTAAGCCATACAAAAATATAGTGTTTAGGTAAACATCTATTTATAGAAAAGTATTTACCCTAGTATGGGAAAAACCCTTACTAAAAATAATACATTTAAGATATTGCAGAATAGACTTCTGAAACTTATGAAAGATGGAGTCCAGTTATATCCAAGTGAGAAGAGAGGTATGTGTGACACAAAGTTGTCTTGTATTTATTTGAACACTGCCGCAACTGGAGTAGAGGTTTGAGGGCCGCGCATAATGTTGCCCTCTAATTTTTCGATGTCCGAATATCGCGTGATCGTCCATCTTTTCTTGCCATGGGTTTTCGCAATGATTTTTCCATCGTACGTCCACACTGATTCGACAAGTTGGTCTTTGAGCAGTTTTTTTGTGCTTATTAAGAGGCCCATTCGTCGTTTTGTCAGGGCTTCATTTATGAAAATTTTGTGTTCATTCATTTCATTTTTGTTGTATTCTTTGAGATTACTCTTATTTGCGTAGACAAGTGCCTTGTCTCGATATGAAGTAAATTTCACTATGATATCTCTGGGGCGGTTCTCTTGCTGCTTGCCTACACGATGGGTTCGATCAATCTTATCAATGGGAATCGATAGGTTTTCTGGGGCAAGGATAAGCTTATTGATAACATTAAGTGCGAGCTCATCCGTATTTTCCTCATCATTTTCTTTGACACCCGTTATCTTTACACAGTTTCGACGAGAATATTGTTCTAAGTCGTCTACCTGCCACTCTAGTCTATCGACCTGTGTCTGTAGAGAGGAAACCTTTTCCAGTAGTGCATCAGAAATATGTGTTTTGAATACATCGTTATTTAAGATGACAGAGACAGCCCTTTTTGTAAAGTTTTCATCTTTAGAAAGAGTGTGGAGCAGTGAGTCTAACTTATGTAGATCTTGATCTAAGTTGGGCCCTGTAGAGTTAGCCATGGAGGTATCACTCTCACTGAGGTCGCACCTGAAACGTTTATTTCCACCTCCAAGTCCTCTGTTTGGGGTATTAATGTTACCAGCTTGATTCTTAGAATACTGTTTTTTATTAGTTTTAGGCATGTCTTATAAGGAATAACTGCAGTGAATACACAGCGAATACACAGCACACATACAGTGAATCAGTGACTCAAAGCTTGTCGTCCTTGATGCACTGTTGCAACAAACTAAAGGCGTTTGTAAGTTGCTTACAAATCTCGACTGAATCGCGAAAACTCGAAATCTCTACCACTGTCCACGCCACAACAAGAAAACTGAAAGTAAGCAAGCAAGATGTATGATTCATCTACACAGCTGGTAAAGGAAGTTTATTATTATTATTTTTTTTGCTTCGTTTTGTTGATTTTATTTATATAGATTACACTTAATAATTCTTTGAGTGAAAAGGCAGGGTATACATATTGATGTTATCTTTTTATAATACCACAAATGAAAATTAAGCCACTATATTAGATAACTTCAATCTAGAGTACTTTCCTTCGAGAAAAATCTCTTTATTAACCTTAAATAAATTGAAATTGAATTAAAGTCTATTGAACCTGAGATAAACCTTACCTTGATCATGGCCATATTCCAGGTGACAGAGACAGAATCCCTGGCTAGGTCCCCCCGGTATCGGGATTGTAATGACGTCATAAGAGGGTCTCTTATCCACCCCTTAACCTGGAAACAAACAAACATTCAAAAAAACAAGGTCGATAGTTATCATAAAAAACAGAGATGCATTTCTTAAAATATGTTATATATTTACACATGAATAAAAAGAAGTTTTCTTGTCACAAGTCGCAGTGTTGGTACTCCTTCTTGATGCTTCATAATCCTCCAATTAAATTTAAGATTTAGAAATCAGTCTAATTAACTTAGTTCAATAGGGTACTTACTAAATCCGCTCGTAGCGAGGAAGTGATGATGAGAGCGGTTTTGGCCACAACAAGGATTCCTGTAATCACGATATACTACAAGAAATTTAGGGGAAATATGAATATTCAATCTGTTTCTATCAATATGCAATCCCCAAAATTTGAAAAATATCATTTTTAAAATGGCTTACGTACAGTTGCTATAAGCCATAATTTGTTGCTGAAGAGACCGGAAATACCGAATAGAACCGGAAGGAGTAAAACAAAAGTAGTAATGAGAAGCACCAATGATAAACCCTGCAGAACCTCGGTTGTGTCATACGATCTGATTATATTTCTGTAATTTTCCGTATCTGAAAAAAATCACGTTTTTTTCATATGCAAGAAGTATGTTTATGACCAATTTGTTTCAAAATATTTTCAACATTTGCAAAGTTTGATACATCTTAAGATCAATATGTAGTTTTTTTCTAGACTACATGTACTATGTATAAATGTTACGGTTTATAAATACACATATACATCTACAACGATTAAAAAATGAATAGAAATCTTAGTTTATTATGATTACACTGCTTTTTATGGTTGATAATAGTATATATTATACTTTCATGTAAATTACTTGAACCTGATTCGTCGAGAAACATTTGATAAAAAACACTACTACCCGCTGAACAATGAAGCCACGCCCTCCTGCGTAGCAACAGTCAACATTGCTTGACGACGGGTGGTATTGCAAAAAATAGCGACTGCGTTGAATTTATGCGCGCACGGTTCACTGTAATATGTATTTGTATAAAACAGTCAGTATAATATAATAAATATTGCAAGTTGATGTAACATTTTTTCAAACCTCGGCTGCGCCTCGGTTGACAATATTTTCAATGTTACACTCAACTACATGCAATATTTATATATTCCCCCATATTTTGAATTGATGCATTTTAAGGCATATAGCTCATATATCAAAAGTGTATAGTTAAATAAAAAAAAATCTTATACTGCTTGATCTTATATTGCTTGATATTGACTACATGTACACCTGTCCAGTTGAGGGTTGACTCACCACTGACTAGCTGTATCTCCGTAAGGCCAGCTCTGACAGGTGCGAGGTAGTGAAGTATGAGTCGCTTGATGTACACCTTGTCAAATCTGACAAACAGACACGCCACACAGCAACCCACTCCGATCAGCTAAATATCAATTATTATATATCATCAATAATACCTCCGTATAATAAAAACTTTTATTTCTCGAGAAAAAAAAAGTTGTTCCATTTGAAAGTTTTATGTCATTAAATAAATGTTGACATTAAGTTCTTCACTTTACCTTGAAATTAAAATCCTCTTATATGAAGTCTTCCAATGAAACTGTTGACATTAATCACAAAATTCCTTTTTTTCAATTCTGGGCAATGTTCTTAAGATTTTTTTGTCAATGTTTCCATCACAAAATTACTCAGAAGATAAAATAGGAAATAAATATTTTTATAGCCTTGATTAAAATTTGTCAATTGCACAAATATGTGAAAAATATCATTACCATTATGAGAATTAATTTATTTACTTACCGTTTGTAATGAGATAAGAATTATTAAAGCACATTTGATCGACTTGGTTGCTGAAGATACATAAGTTAATTCCTTAGTAAACCAATCTCCTTTGATTTAAATGGCTTTTTAACCGCTGTGTCCATTTTATGTTACATCCTTACATCCAACTCATAGGTACAGATAGGCTATCAAATACATACATTTGATTAATTACTAGTACTGTATAAAGCGATGACTTAGTCACTTTAAATTAGCCATCGTAGGGAGCAGAGTTGTTACTTGTAGATGATTGGGAATTTCGTTCAGTGTGCTGAATTTTGTAATTTTTCCTTTAGCACCATTCGTCCAAATCTGTCCTTCTTGTGGCACATTGCAAGAAAGCCAAAGAACCAAATTTACAAAGAAAGTAATTTCCCAAACATAAAAATAACAAAGAAATATGTACCCCTTGTGTCATTCTAATATTTTTCAATATTTTAATAGCATACATTCAAATTAGCAGCCAGGCCATTCCTACAAACTGACTTTTAACTGTAATTTTTATTTTGGCTTATCCATTCATCACTCAAACTGATTCGTAGCAAATGAACATATCGATTGAAACAACATTTATTTAATTCTTTAATACGAAACAAACAAAAAATCGTTATTCCAAATAACATATAGATCTTATAAAGTTTCATGCTGTCCAAATATAAATAAATAAAAAAGATCAGTAAGGAATTACAAAAATATTTCTTTTTCTTTCTGAAATTCACTGTAGAGAATTCATCCAGTGTTGGTCATTTGGAATCATATTTCTCCATGTATAAATTTAAGTAACATATATACATTTATTTTAAATGCTGCGCATGTACAAAGCAAGAATTATTTCTTTCTCTTTCTGCCTTTCTCTGAGTCCACTTTATTCTTTTTGTCCATACCCTTGGCGATGTATATCGCAAAGAAAGCAAGCACAAGCTATAAGAAAAACCAAAATTACTCTGAATCAATTTTGCTATGCAAGTACATTTGGATTGAAATGGTTGCTATTTCCTTTAAAAAATTGCAATTATTTCCTTTTTTAAAACAAGAATAACACATTTTTTTTCTACATTGAGAATTCAATAAATTTCTTGGAATTTATTTAAACAATAAAATTTTTATATTGACTAAATTCTTGCTAACATTACATACAACAAGATGTGTTTGTGAAACACTGATGCCCCAGTATGGCAACAGTGAAGATTAAAGTTTTCTTAAATGCAAATTTAATATATTGGTACCCAAAGTAGGGTCTCCTAACTGGAAATACAATTGTAGAACATGAAAGCCCTATCACCATCTGTTCCCAAGTTATGTCAAGCTAAAGTTTTTTCATAAGTACAGAAATCTTCAAGATCAAGGTTAGAAGGTCAAGGTTATTGGTATCCAATGAAAGATCTTTTCACAAAGATCACATTGAAGTATGGAAGCCCTAGCCCTAACCATTCAAAAGTTATGGCCAAGGTAAAAAAGATTATAATAGAAGGTTATTGGTATTGAATGAAAGGTCTTGTCACAAGAATTACATATGTGAAGTATTAAAGTCCTAGCCCTTACTTTTCAAAAGTTATTGCCAAGGTCAATGTTTTTTCATAAGTCCAACAATCTCCAAGGTCAAGGTCAAAAGGTCGAGATTATTGATATTCAATAAATGCTTTTGCTATAAAGAATACATATGTGAAGCATGGAAGCTCTAGCCCTTACCGTTCAAAAGTTATGGCCCAGGTTAAGATTTTTTAAAAGTAGGTCAAACTCTAAGGTTAAGGTCAAAGGGTCAAAGGTCTTGATATCAAATAAAAGGTCTTGTCACAAGGATTAAATATGTAAAGTATGAAAGCACTGGCTATTATCCTTTAAAAGATATGGTCAAGGTTTATTTTTTAAAAGGAGGTCAAACTCCAAGGTCAAAGTCAAAGGGTCAAAGCTCTTGGTATCCAATAAGTGTCTTCTTACAAGGATTACATACGTGAAGTATGAAAGTTCTAGCTCTTAATGTTTAAAAGTTATTGCCAAGGTTAAGGTTTTTTTTCATTAGTACGTAAATCTCCAGGGTCAAGGTCAAAAGGTCAAGGTTTGTGGTATCCAGTAAAAGGTCTTGCCACAAATATACATATATGAAATATTAATGTCCTGGTATCTACCCGGTACTGTTCAAAACTTCTGGCCAAAGTAAAAATTTGAATTTTTTGTGTAAAAGTGGGTCAAATTCTAAGGTCAAGTTCAAAAGGTCAAATTTGGTGGTACCCAAAGAAAGGTCTTGTCACAGGAAATAAACATGTGAAATATGAAATTCACAGCTCCACTAAATCAAAAGTTATGGACAAGGTTAAAGTTTTTGCGGACAAACAGACAAACAGAGAGACAGAGTGACAGACAGAGAGACAGACAGACTGACACAACAAAAACTATATACCCCCGAAACTTCATTTACGGGGGCATAAAAACAACAGATTGTGTCCGTCCTTCTAACTGTATGTTAATCTGTTTATCCGCAATAAACTCTTATCTTGTCCATAACTTTGATTGGTAGGAGAAATAGCTCTAACATTTCAAATGTTTTTCTTTTAACAAGATTTTTATTTGGATGTGCATATATTTTACCTTTTGGTATTGGCGTTTGACCTTTCTGGGAAAGCAACGATTTTGCCCATTAATTTACATTGACCTAGAAATTAGATCCTCATTGGAAAAGTAAACTGTGGTCATGTCTGTTGAACAGTATGTATTTAGGCTTTATAGTTCCTAGTTATTTTTAATATAAGTCCTTTCTTTACATTTTCGATCTCTTGACCTTGGAGCTTAGCTTACTTCGAGAAACGTATGGGGGCATCAGCAATTAAAATAACATCTTGTTTTGATTCTTCTATATCTTTTGGTTACCCTGTTTATCTACTTTGATTTTTTTTCTCTACATAGTAGAGTTTTTTTGGTTTTCTTTTAACACATGTTTGTAATTTTCATTGTCTGAATACGAAAAGAAGCAACATAACAAACCTCCAGGCCTATTAGTCCGCCGACACACCCCACTACAATGTTGACATACTTCTCTAGATACCTCCACACTTCATCATAACAACTCTGGAAAGTCAAAAGGGTGAGTGCGATTCAAATTTAATTTCAAAACCTCTAACATCAAATACACACGTTAATCATTTTCTGTTACATATATGATAGATGTTTTAATTTAATTTACATACTCATTAATTTACTAACAAAGTAACACCATGAAGGATATGGAAATAACGAACAGTATTCATATCAAAGTCCATAAAACGATATAAAATAGGAGCAGAGCAAACAAGGACCTACAATGCATCAGAGGTAGGATCAGGTGCCACTGAGGAGTGAGCATCCCATGCCAAACGGTCACACCCGCCATGTGCTCCTTGTCATGATCGGGAAATAGCGGAAAAGTGTATAAATAATGGACTAACAAAAAGTATGAAAAATTCAGCTTTTGACTCAATGATAAACTGTACTATCTGACAAGGTAATTGTTTCGACCATAGAATTTAGAAATTGTTCATACGTAGAGCATGTTTTTGTGTATCGAATCAACTGAGATATATTAACTCGGTATGCAGGTGAAGAAGCTATAATGCTACATAAGTAAGGGAAGTTAAATTCATCACGTTTATCATATAGCTTGGTTGTTGGAATACCATTAAGTCTTTTTCAAGTAAAATATCCAAGTATGAAATAGATGTGTCAGACTCTTATGTATCTTTTATCTCAAGCTCACCAGGATATATCGTATCGACATAGGAAATGAAATTGCCATTTTAATTGACAAAACGTCGTCTATATATCTAAATGTCGAGTTGAAGGCCATAGCAAGTGTTTTCTTCTTTTCACCCATAAGATTTCGCATAAATTGTGCTTTATATAAATGCAAAAATAGGTCTGCTAATAAAGGAGCGCAATTGGTACCCATGAGAATTCCAAAAAATTGTTGGAATTTATTCATTTATTTAATTATTATTTATTTGATTATTTATTTAATTAAACAGCGGAACACAAAAATCAAGATTTGAAAATATATAATTAAATTCTAGCAAAAACTTAACAAACACAAAAGTCAAATACTGTTTGCTCCTTCTATGCTTACCTTCTCGAAATTTGATTTTTGCCGCGTTAACGGTTGCGTGGCACACCTCCACCAATTATTGGTCGACTTTGACCTTTCAGCGTCTGTGCAGCACATTAGGGGCGTTTCCAGTTGTGAACCATTATGAACAATATCAGCTGTAGGTGTCCTATTCCATACTCCGCCAGTAAAATCATCATAGCTGTCAACTCCACAACAGGAAAACTGAAAAATTGTACGTTTGTTTAATATTTATAAGCTCCGAGATCATAAGGATTTTGATAATTAAATATTATGAGTAACTGACATGGGGAACAATTTATTTACTTTTCCGAAAAACTCATTTTGCACTTGTATTGTTCCCAATTTTTATTTCGCAATTATAAATTCATAAATTGCGTACTTTATGCCATAAACATTACCCTTAACATGATGACACTCCAGAGAAATATACATACCTTTAACATGATGGCATTCCAGAGAACACTGATGGCGTCCATTGCGTGGTCACCCATATAATAAGACTTCAATGAAGTCCGTAACTGTGGCTTCAGCTTGTCATTGATCTTTTTAATGGCAGACATATAGAGTTAGAAAATAGTTTCTATCTCTACTTATATATATTTTTCAAAAATACGAGTAATGTGCAATAGATTATACTTTACTTATGCTATTAGTCAAAAAGGAATATTATCCATGTAAGTGTAATCAAATTCTACTCTATTAATTAATTACGTAATAATATGTAAAATGAATCCGTTACTTCATGAATGAAGTTTTAACCTTAATTTTGGAACATAACGTTATTATTACCAAGTCTCTTTTCTGAGTAACCAGTACTGCACAAACAGTCTGACCAATCAAAATAATGACGAGCAGTAAGCCATACTACAAAATAAACAAGTGAACGTCACCACAAATGCAGCAAGATATTTTGTCGTTGGTCAGCAATAAACGTATCACAAATGAAACTGAAACAGAAAAAATTCTGGGTTTGATAAATATATGAATCATGACATGGAGGCAGGCCAGATGTGAGGGTCGACGGGAGATGCTCACTCCTCCCTGGCCTCTGATCCACCATTGATGTTGATAGAGGTCCTTGTTTGCTCTGCTCCAGTTTACTGTAAAATCACATATTTTCGTGGGGTCAAATTTTCGTGGTTGAAGGAAAAAACGTTGGTTCGTGGGGATTTGATTTCGTGGATGAAGAACCTTTCAGTAGTTGTGCATATGAACATTTACATTTCGTGGTGGACATGAATTCATGGGTCTCTTAATACCACGAAAACAACGAAAATTAAACCCCCACGAAAATTAGTGATTTCACAGTATATTGTTTCAGTAGGTTGATTGTTCGTTATCTTCGTATTGTATTGCTCACCAGTGTATATGTTTGATTATCGTATATCATTGTATTTTTCTACTACCATAAATTCAGAAAGAGCTCTCGATTTGTTGCTGATTAGCATTATTATATTCGAAGCTAAATTTTATGCACATTGATAAACTTGTAATTTAATGAATACGAATTTTTATCTATTTTAAAAATACAAAACAAGTCACGAAACTAGGTTGAACATTGATCGCTTAGCAATACTAAAATCATCATTCTAATGAAATACGAGGGCTGTTCAATAAATAATGTCCTCAGTGCTCAGAAAGAAGCAAAACACGCTTTTCAATGATTTAGTCTTCATAATTTGACTTAATATTCTCTTTCAACTAAAACCCATGTTGATAAAATTTTTTATACAACTTCTGATTGTTTTTAGAACTCATTTCTGGGTATGACCCTTAGTATACTGGAAAAGGGCAGATCTTATTATTTCCTGGACTAGTTTCTCCGTTTTGAAAGGTGTTTTTTTCAAGTTTGGAAAATGAAACAAGTAAAAAGGCGAAAGCTCTGACGAATATTGTAAGTGTGAAAAAAATTCACTTTCTGTTCACCCAAAAACTCCTTTACTCTTCATGGCGTGCGGGTTTGGACGCTGTCATGAAGAAAATTAATGTAGTGGATTCCTGATTCTGGTTCCTTCCTCTCATTAACCTTTCGATTTTTTTTGCAAAAAAAAATATTTCTAGTCCCTTCTCGAAATTAAACTGCCTCTCCGAATACTATTTTTAGCAACAAGACCACTAATATTTAAGAAAATTGCATATAAAACTGTCTTTGTGCTCTTGCAATTCTTTGCTCTTATCAGACCTTTGCTGTTTTTGTCAAGTACGTCTTATTGTAAATTTTGTTTCGGGGTTTTATGCAATAGATTCAAGTAAAACTCTGTTTGAATTTCAAACAAACAAACATGGATAACTACAATTTTTCATTTTTTGAAATAATTGTTTAGATATTCTTACATGCTGTCGTTTTCACTTATTTTTCAAAACATAAGGTGACCTTTGAATACCAAGCTTTTTTACTGTCAAACGTGTCTTTAATACAGTGTGAACTATTCCCGAAATGATGTCTATCAAATTTGCCATGTGTCTCAAAGTGAATCATACATCACCAGTGATTATTTGTTGAAAATTAGCAAACAGTACATGAGTTGTTATAATTTTTGTTGGCAAGGACGGTACCCATTTTTGATGCCCATTATACAATGGTTTAGCATTTAAATCCACCTGCTCATTTGTCTATAAAATAGACACTGGTTTCCGTAAATGTTACATATTTCAGTGAATATTTCTTTGGGATTCTTAACGAGTTTTACAGCAGCTTGAATGAAGCATATAATTTCACTCTAGTTTACTGATTCTTTACCATTCATTTTACATGCAGTGTCTCGAATAGTCCTTGTTTTCCAGCTTCTCACAATGAAACTATGAGATGAAATGTGGTCATATAAATTGTTATAAATTCATTAAAGATTCAATAATGCGAAAAGGCCAAGCTAAATGTCATATGATATCTGTATAGTATGTCATACTAGTAGTATGTATTATATATGAAAAAAATAATCCTCTTTGGTTATCGATAACTTTAAGATAAATATTATCTAAGATATACTTACCATATAAAGGGCACACTTAGATTTGCAGCTGATACCATAGCAACCCCAAAAAACAATAAAGAGCAAAATAGCACCAAACACAATGAAAACAACAGCAGCGTCACCTAGCAACTTTTCAAGGTCAAGGTTATCCAGAAAATCCGACGATGATTTGTGGGTAGCTGCAACAATTAGAAATTAAGATTCCAGTCTGTCAGGTTATCTGTAAAATTCTTGAACATGCACGGTTATTAAAAACTCTTACTGCATTCTGATACCTTTTAAGATTGGTTCTACCTTCTTTACGAGTTCGTTCATCAACTGTGGTAACATGGATTTGAGGTCGTCAGATCCGTACTTCACAAACATTCCTCCCACAAAGCACACCAGTCCAACCAGCTAAAACAAATTCATTGATTGTAAAAATGTAAAACTGTAAAGAAAAAAATGATTACACATACCTTTAACAAATATTTTTTCTATTAAAATAAGATACCTCTACTAATACGTCTTACGCAACTTTTCCTGTTTAGGTAGATATGCAAGTAATTTGCTTCTGATTAGAGAAACTGATGTTGCAGCTGCTTATAGTTGATAAATGCTTTAGATTCACTCCTTAAAACTCATGTCAACAAGATGCATTCAGTTAAATAATGTATTAACTAGAACAGTATTGAACAAAATATTTTGTTCTAATACATCAAGGAGTTAAAAAAAATAAATTTATGAATTAAAAGGTTATACTTTAAACTCTTTCGCCCTCATCAGATGGTTTGTAATAATGATCATTATCTACCGATGAGTCTGCATGTGGCGAAAGAGCTTAGATAAGATTTGAGTTTTACATTTAAATTTGGAAAATACACAATGTATATATTTTCTTGACTTTTCTCAGATATGGTTATTGTCATTAAACATTCAAATAAAATCTCATACTATGGTATTTTTTACGGGTATTTTAATCTCGTGTGAACAAGTATAATTTTATAAAAGTGTTTGACATAATGAGCCACACAATTAAATATGTTTTCTGGTGCATTTTAAAAAATACAAACCTATTCCTAAGAATGTTTATTTCAACTACAGGCATCCCTGAGATATCCGACGGTTCCTGTTTTGTGTTCTGTTCATGGATTTTTATTCTTTTAAAACAATTATTCACTGTATGTTATCTACACTAATTATTCAAACAACGTGTTGTCCTTTTCTCTAGAGTTTCATCTCTTCACAACAATTTTACAATCGTATTGGCTTCTTTTATCTATTGAAGTTGAGTAAAATTTTAATATCAGTACATTCTTTTTTTTTTTTTTTTTTTTTTTTTTACAATTAAAATGCCTTGTTTCAGCACTCCATCCGTTTTCATACTCAGTAATAATAAATGAAAGGTGTTTTATATATACAAAAAATTAAAAACTCGGTACAAACCCCAAATAATCCATTGATAAGTAAAATGATTTGACGTCCACATGTTTTTACAATCGACATTGTTTCACTTTTAATGCATCGTTTCTTCTAGAAAGTAAAGAAAGTTTAAAATAAGAAAAATATCAACATATTTTCTTATCATGGTGCCATAGGCGAGAAAGACAACTTAAGATTATTTCTTCAGATTTTTAATCGATGGAATACAAGGACCTTGTTATTGGTTTAAGTAAAGACGAGTACGTGTAACATCAAACATAAAACCCTCCATTAAAGCCCCCCGAAGGAAAATCCTGTCAAGCTGGCCATATTTTCCGGCAATCTCCCTAAGACACGTTATCTACCTTTATCCAGTAATGCACCATTTATCAAAATCCCAGCAAGATCATTTTAATAAAACGTTTGATAGATAAATGTTTTAGCAACACACATTGCAAAAAAGTAAATAAAGGGACGGTAGCCGCAACCGTTTTTCTAGTCACATAGATATTCCTTTATTTTTTGAACATCATATATAAGAACATGAAGAAGAATTTTAACATTTCAATTTCATAATAATCAAAGGAACTTGGATAAAGTACAACTGTTTCTAATAATGTATAAACCAACATGCCCGTTTTATGCATGTAAATTTATCAGTGAAAATTACTGAATATCCCTACGTTGATAAGCTATATTCCTTTGAATTCTATATAAAGATACAACAGAGTGGGACACATCTGTTTCATGTTTGGATATTTTGCTAGAAAAGACGTCAATGGTAAAGTAACAACAACATTTTAAGATGGTCATTGTATGGTCCATGGAACTTACGAAATGATGACTTAAAACTAGAATGCTGATATACTAATTCACCAACTTATTAGTTTGTCTCGATTAAAAAAATTATCGATTTAGAGCTTGCTCTTACATAACAAATCAAATGGGAGACATAAAACCCAGAATGCATTTGATGAGGATACATGTACATAAGTATGAACAGTTGATAATAGAAGGTTTGAAATCAGCACGTTTATCATTAATATTTTAAATTTTTAGGTTATCTTTAAAGTCTTTTTGTACCAAAATATCTAAATATGAAATAGCTATGTCAGACTTTGTGCAGTCTTTTATTTGAAGTTCACCAGGATATGTTGTATTGATTGACATATTAATGTATATAAGTACATATTTTTAATTGATATTACGTCGTCGATGTGTTCAGTGTTGAAAATCACAGCAACAGTTTCGTTAAAAAAACTCTATTATTGAAACAATCACCTGTCAGCAAATTCAATCCATCAAGTCGAATGGGGACTGACATTTATCATAACATTATTAAGCCCCTTTCCACTGTATTATTTAGAAATTTGCGGTTTGTTTTGACAAGGAAAACACTACGGGTGTGACCAGTCGATGGGAATGCTTACTCCTTGATGGTACCTGAACAAACCTCTGATTTTAATTTGTATTGAATTGCAGGACTTCTGAGCTTGATCATTGTTTGCTATCTTTACATTTCACTTTGATTTATTCTCAAGAATCTTGCATTTTGCAACAATAACAACATACCCCATCAGTTATTTATTTGACCAGCGAGGAATCCATGCAGGCTTCATTAGGTTCAAATGTACGTCAACATGAATTTAAAATAAAGTTAACTGTATTTACCATGAGACAAGTCCACATTTTAAAGTGAAAAAATGGTGCAATCTTTTTTTCCCCAGTGACTTCTAATATGAGCTTGGTATTTCCGGCACCTTTTTAGCAGAATGAATCAGAAACAATAAGAAACAGCAACAAGAACAAGATGTTTTTTTCTGTTGTCAAACTCTTAAAAAAATGTGATAGTAGAATTAGAAATATTGAAAGTGTTCAAGTAAATTCATCGATTTGTTAACAATATATTGCCGTTAACGTTGATTTTTCCATATTCTATATACATTTGTATACACAAGTTTACAATTCAAATAAAGTCTAAGTTATTTGAGTGAAATATATGGAGATAGCGAAAAGTATTTAAGCTCAAAAGTCCATAAAAATACAAAATATTAGCAGAGCAAACAGGGACCTCCAAAATAAAAGAGGTTGGATCAGATGCCATGGAGGAGTGAGCATCCCAGCAGATAAAACACCAGACGAAATGTATGATATCAATTAAAGAATTTAAGAAACTGCTTTTAAAAGCAATGAACTAGGAATTTTACATCAAAATTTATTGAAAACATTGATACAAACAATAAATAAAGAAAAAAATGACAAGTCTCTACCGCTCCTCAATTTGCAGCAACCCTAAAAAGGAAAGTAAAAATTGTATATTCATCTGCACATCACAATCACAAGTGTAGGTCAGATATAATATTTTCGAGACTGAGAACGAGCACTTACCAGGCTTGATGTGATTGAGGGCTTGCTTCGCCCAGATAATGGCGTCCTGCATGGATTTACGTCTGTCCAAAATGTCAAGGAGAGGCGTGGCATCCAACTCCTTCTTCTTGTCATCTGGAAAACAAGAAAACAAGTTGTTAATGTCATTACTTACTATTTCTTTGCAAAGAAAGGTAATACATCTACCCTTAATAAATATCTGTTCTAAAATCTTGATTTGTTCTAAAATATCAATTAATGGTGGTCTGTATACAATGCATGTAGGGCTGAAAAATATAAATACCATCAGTGGCAAGTGTGACTAGTTTACAACCAAATATCTGGATATCAACGTTGTCTGGAAATCTGCCCATGATATCAATCACCATGGATACATCATAACATTCCAGTAAGTTTGCAAGGTCTTCACGGTCTGCAAACAAAAAGTCACTTGTTTACAATGGGCTTTAAGATTCTTACAAATTACCCGACATAAAAAGAATTCAAAATGAAACATACCCGATTTCAGTAAATTTTCTAATGTCATGAAGGCCACAACAATTAGTCTAGGTTCATTTTGGAATCTGTCAAGGATTGATAACAGAGTCCTCATCCCCTCACGTTGTAAGAATGCAATACTTAGTGAGTCTGAAATGAAAAAAACCATGACTTATATCTCCCTAAAACTGAACAAAAAGACATGATGTAGATTATGAACAACAGACAGCAAACTTCGTCTAAACCAAAGCAAATTTTTTGCGTAAAAATTTGTAACATTAGGCATAAGTTCCAAGTGTTCGTCAGGAATACTTGTTTTACATATGTGTATCCCTCTGATAGCAGATCACATTGCCTTGTGGAGAAAATTACCTTGCTCTTCTGTCATATAACAAAGAGCTCCACAGCATACAATCTGTAGGTCAAGTTCTTCTGGAAATTTCTTCATGGCAGAGTGAATCAAAGATAAAATTTCTGTTGAAAACTTCGAGTGGAATCCATCTGGAAAAAAATTCAGTATTAGATATTTACGATATTTTTTCGTCCTTACTCTTTTTCTTTAAAAAGGAACAAAACGCTGTTACTCACTCATCGCCAGAGCTGCTAGAATTTTACAACCGTAGAACTGTAAATCATAAGTTGTTGTGTTGATATTTAATAAATCCAATAACTTATCAAAGGATCCACCGTCCATAAACATATGACAACCACTTACTAGAAAAGGGAACAATACAAAATCTTAAACTTGGTATGTGATTTTATTTCAGACTAGGAAGCATTACAATTTTACAAAGATCATGGGAGTTTTTCCTCAGGAAATACGACTACTAACCATTGGAGACGAGTTTTTCGTAATACTGCACCAAATATACATCTACATTACTGCTGCTACCCTGACTCTCAGTCACAGTACTCAGGACTCGCTCTATGTTCTCCAGGTCGCTACTGGGGATACCTACAAAAATAAAACATACTGCTGGATTCCCTTCGAAAAAGCCTTTGAGAAAAATATAGTTTAAAAGAAGCATTTTCTTTTTATTGAAGGTAACTAACTTACCTCTTGCTGAAGCCAACTGAATGAGGATATTTCTGATCCATACTTCTATTTCTTGATCAAAGTTGTTTTCCTTAAGTAAGGTTTCTAGAACATCTAGACCTTTGTCCTCGATGAAGTGATGACAGGATGCATCTTCAAAAACAGAGATAAGAAATTAAATTTTGTCATTCATATTGCTCTCTCATCACTAATACTTAATATTGTAGAATCAAATCATAAAACGTGAAAAGTCTTACATGTCAAAAATCATATACTTACCAAGTTCGATCAGATTTCCCAGTAATTTTAGCGCTAGTTCCACAACATCCGGGTTATGTGACATCGAAGTTAAACTTGTAATGGCGGCCTGAACACCTCCATTTCTTTCCACAGTTGATTTGTTTCCATAAACTACAAAAGACAATGGAAGATAAACCATGAAGTTATATACATGTATCAACGAAATGATGATTTGATGTTACGTCAGATGAAGAGCAGTAACTTAATTTGACATGTTCTTACTTTCTGCTGACAGGTTGGTGAGGGCTATATGCGCATTCTCGTGGATCTTTTCCGAGTTTTCGTGATGGAGGAGGGCTGTGATTATTGTTCTGGAGGAATTCAGTCTCTCTAATACTGTTCTGTTAGCCTCTGTCAATCAGTATATTCAATATTATTTTTTTTTTAAATTAATATTTGACTTTAAAAAAAAAGTATTCCTGAAATTTTTTCTGATTAACAAAACGCATGTATCTTTAAGTTTATTCGTCAATATCTCTAGGTTCTAGGCATAAAAGCTATTGAGTATTCAAGTGATAAACTTACTATTGACCGCTAGTGAGCCTATGATAAGACAGCCATGTTCCTGTATGACAGGGCAGTCAATGTAAGTGGTCATTCTCTCCAACAAAATAGACACCCTGCTGTCCTGTATAAACTTTTTCTGGATATCTTCTAGAAAATTAAAGAAATTCAATTTATTTTATTATCTGTATTTTTCATGTTGCTTAGAATATTTTAATAAAATTTGTTGGGTACACTGTGCATTCAAAACATTACATGAAAGGACTTTCAAACATTTTTTGAAATTTTAAACTAAGCAAAGACCTGAATTATAAAGGTTGATTGATTGATTGCTATTGAACGCCACCTGAGGGCTTGTTATACCTTATGATTAATGTCGCACCAGAGTCACCGTGTAGGATTAAGTCTGTCATACATATATACTAGTAGTTTATCTGAGCAGCATCAATTGATATGTCTTCCAGTATCTGCTGTACCTGATATTGCCAGTACTGGGACTAAGAAGATGAAGATTTCCTGCTGAAGTTGGAGATTATCTGGGAACTGGGTCAGACACTGACAGACGGTCTCCACAATGGCGGGTAGGGCTAATTCCTGGGCACCCTGAACTGCAAAAAGATAAAAAAATCTTTATCCTAATGCTGCAAAGACACCATTGCTTATTAAGATATGTTTAAATAAATCAAACAGAAACATTATGGTAAAGAGTCCAAGGAGATTTACCAGAAGAAGAGATGTTACAAAGTGTGCAGCAACCGTATTCCTGAAGTGTTTCGTCATACTTGTATTTCTTCAGTGTATCAATAATTGTCGAGATCTCATTTTTCTTACATATATGTTCCCCTGCATCAGCTGTAAGATAGTCAATAAGAAATCAAATGATTATATTTTGTTTTCTGGACACTGGAAATTTTCAGTTGTAGGAATATTCGTCTAAACTTACTACATTTGGTGAGACAAGCCAGAGCCCATAAAGCACACTCTAAAACAGCGGTACTGTCTTGGAAATTTTTAAGCGTTTGTAAAACCACGCCAATTCCTCCGGCATTGGAAACATCAGAACTTAGATCCTCTGTGAAATAAAAAAAACTTCCTCAAAATTATGTTTGATGGAAAATATCGCTGACTGTGCTGATTTTTTTTTCCACCAGTGATAGATATTTTACTCCATAGCTTACCATGGAAAGAAAAGCTCCCCAAGGCCCTACAAGCGTTCTCTTGAACTAGATCGTCATGTCGGAATCTCTCCATGATTCTTACAATCACGTGTACTCCTCCAATATACATGACATTTTTTGCTGTTTGATCTGGCAACAACAACAAATAAATGTTCATTTAATTATTTTTTTTATTTTTGTTCAGATAAAAAAAAATATTTCGTTTTATAAATTGACAAAATATGCACTATAACAAAACGTACAATCGTTGGCAAGATTGCTCAAGATGAAGCAACAGTTGCTGACAATTTTGTTGTTGTCCTCATAACGAGACAACAAGGTCACAACACTAGAAGGCACCGCACCCTCAACCAACTTCTCGAGTAGCTCTTCTACAATAAAAGTACAGATGCAAGCTATAGTTTTTTTTTTAAATTTAAAACTTAAAAGCTCTACAAATTTAATTACAATGCATGATCTTAATTTTGTTTGTAAACTTGTTTTCACTTTCTATTTCAAAGATGACCACAGATCTATGTTTCATGTCAATAACTCAATTTCAGCACATAATTCCCTAACAATGCATGTTCTTAATTCTATGTTAACTTGTTCTCTTGTTTTTAAGATGACCATAGAACAGTCTATCATATTCATTAAGGACACACAATTTCAGTTTCCTAACCTACGGCGGACATGCTTCCCAGGATGTCCACAGCGCCCTCTATGACGTCTATGTTATTGCTGGAGTTCGTCAGTCGCAGAAGCTCTGCTATACCCCCATTCTTCTGTATATGAACACAACTGGCATCTACTCGAAAGGACCGAAAAAAAAAATAAATGAAGGAAGTTGTTCTTCTGGGCACTATAGATTTGTTTTAAATGCTTCAAGCTTGTTTTAAGGCATTATAAGACATGCAACCTACCCGAGGCAGCGCACATGCGTGCTAGAGAAACAATGGCGGAGGTGAGTATTTCGGCATGATTCTTATATGTCGTCAGGGCCGTCATTAGGCAGGTTACCCCCTCATTCTTAGCCAAAAGAACAGACAATGAATCTGAAAAAGTCACTGAACATTAAAATATGGGTAAATAACACAACAATGACAATTCTTTATAAATTAGCTAAGAAATGACAGAATAGTTTTTTTATCTGGCTTTTTACAGTATTGAAAAAACTTCTCGGTTAAAAAATCTGTTTTCAAAACGTTTTAAAATATGCATGGGTATTAAAGTGATCTACTCAAAAACTTTATGAATAAAAAGTGACCCTAGATTTCCTAGAAGTCGTAAATACTTCGAAAAAATGGGGGACTGGTTTTTGCAGAGCAAGTCTACTACATGTATTTCAAAATTGTCTTTACGCTACACGTGCCCTATACTAATTTACTCAGTATGTACATGTAGTATCTTACAGTCCTATGTAAATGATCAGTACAAAAATAAGTGCGCTTTCTCTCATCAATTACAGCCCCTTTTATGTTGCTCTTTACGCTGTTTTTGATATCTAATTTATCTTGGTTAAATTATATTCATTTCTTCATTCCAATTCAAATTGCTCGAGAGAGTCAAGGCCGAGTTTAACTTCTAAGTTATTTTATACTTTAAACTACACTAAACATAAATAATTGTGCTTGGGAGATTTACAATTTACAAAGAAAGTAATGCTACAAAATTCAAATTTCACTTTACAATTATCTAATTGGAACCTAATTTGTTTGTAAATTAAAACTTTGTTTACATGCAACAACGCTCCTTACGTCAATATTCTCAGCTATCAGTGATGTTTTTACATTTAAGACATGATGTTTTGGCAAGGTTCACATAAATATCCCACCAGCGTGATTCTTTTTGTACAACAAGACAGATTTAAGTTTTCATAAAAAATTAAAACAGACGATTTGGTGACTTCTTTGACTAATTGATCAAAATAATTTTATATGTATGCTTCAAGAAATAAACTTTCCAAACCATTTACTTGTAATTTTATGTTAATAAAAAAGATAGATATACCAAAAAATCTGTTTCTTTCTTTTCTTCATGAGGAATGAAAATTCAAACATTTTTAGCGCTACAATAATTATTTTTCCGATAATCTCCGACCATATTTTTTGATTTTGGTAGCGCTTATTATGAAACAGGATTTCAATGAATTTTCTCTTTTATAATTTACCGTCATTGGCAAAGCTGCCCATGCTTTTACAACCCTTCAGTTGGGTATTTAGGTCATCCGGGTATTTCTGCATCATGCTGATGGTCTCCCCTATTGTTTGTTGTTTGCATTTCTGAGTTTCTGAAACTGAAGGAAAAAGTCATAAAATAAAATTGTATCTAATAGCAAATTTTACTGCATTTGTTTCAAGGTTTTAAGGCTTGATCTAAAGATAATGTCAAAAAAAAAAAAAAAAAAAATTCACAAACACCTCTTTCTTTTTGATTTTTGTTTTAAGGGGGCCGACTATAGTTTTATTGTGTGAAAACTACAATAGCGAAACTCTTCATTTTTATATTATATATAACTTACATTAACTTCGGTGTACATGCTAAGTTTGGGGGAAATCTACCGTCCAGGTATTTTTGAGGGACCGACTCAAAATACAGGTACATTTCCTATAGGATTATATAGGAAAATGCCAATTTTTAGCACTTTAAAGCAAATTATACAAATACTACAATAGACATTTTGTTCAAATTGTATTATTTGATGAGTAATACTATATTATACAATATATGTAAAAAACACAAAATTCTACCGTCTTGTTACCAGAGGGGGCATCTCAAAATGAAAAAAAATAGCAAATTTTACTATTCTTATAGAGTATTACTAAATATGACATACACAATGGATTCACATGAAAACATAGTAAAAATATTGGAGATATTCTCAAATATCTATGTTTTAAATTTCAAGAGCGTACGTTACTTTTTCTTTAATAATATTTTTATTACCCCTTTCTCTAAGAGCTACAGATTATCATAACGTCAAAAACACACTGCAATGGGATCAGCCTACCTATCAATTGCAAAATTGGTTTAAAAATCAGTTATATCAAATTGTAATGACATTTTTATACCTATAATTTCTTAATTTTGTTTAATTTTAATAATTAAGCGAAAAAAGTTGCATTAAAACAGTAAATACGCTTCATTTTACTATGATGCGCGAAATGTTGCGCAATGGAAACTATAGTCGGCCCCCTTAAACCCATTCCTTTTTTGCATTAAACTTGAGCATCAATAAATTTAAAATGATGGTCAAACGGAAACGATGTCGGTACATTATTGCCGAGCGGAAAATTTAATATACCGTACCCAAGGATGTGTTTATTTTAATATTTCATAAAAATATTGCATACATCTGAATAAAATATTTACACAAAAAAGGTATTATTATACAAAAATAGAATCTGATTCTCTATAGCATTTATGACATATCTTTTGGATCAACCCTCGTAACATGCAGAAATAAGCCTAATTGGAATCATGCTTCCCGATTCCCGATTTAGTTATGTTAATTTTATTTAGAATTTCGGAGAACTCAAAGATTAATGAAATTGAATAATTTTTATTTAAATTATCCAAAGCAATCTGTCAATGTATTTTGAAATTAAAGTCGGCCATGAGGAAGACTCTGTAGATGATGTAGTGCACAAAGTATCTAAAAATATGCCATTTTGATTCAATTAGAACATGGCTGTAGAAACCAAATATAACCATAGAGGGTAAAAATAGATACTAGTAATGCAAATAATTACAAGCTTCAATGGATGTGCAAAGGCTCCAAAAATTGTACAGTTATTTCTAAATTCATTTTATCCTTTTCATGTTATTTGCTAAATTTTTCCTTGTCTATTTTTTGCAACTTATATTAAAATTAGTTTCTTTGCTTACTTTCCAAATGTCAACAACGTTCGTTATTTTTATCATACTTCCAGTGAATTTATTAACACATACCAAAGCAGAAAATTGAATTTTCATGCTTAAATAACTTGAGTAAAATGCTATACTGTTTAAATAGTTTGTATCTATATATCGGGTTACTCCAACTTACCAAAAGAGTTGTTAACATTTCCAGAACAACAAAATCTACCGCATCCATTGCAAAATGTCTCCAGTGATTGTAAAGGATGCACAATATTATTTTTACGGAATATGCTATGTATAATAGCTTTCCAGCAACCCAGTGGGTTTGTCATGATTTGTGAATTAAGAGTTAATCGTCAGATCCTGGAAGCTAGCACTCCCCAATCCAACAGAACAGAACTCTAGGGTCTCCACAATGACTGGTTAGAAGTACACTTACAACCGTGACTACAGAGTTTTTAGGACTCTTACATATTATTTTAACATAATTGATGCATTGTCTAATTAGAGTGCCACGGTTTGGTATCAGAGACTTCTCATTCATTCATTAACATATATCTAAATGCAACGGACTGGTTAACGGTTTCCGACCATTATACAAGAGCGTATTACATAATCCTAATCTGAATTAACTGCACAAAAATTAATTGCTTCTTTAATGCATGTCTACTTTAAAGAAAAACAGATATTCTATTTCTATGAGGATACTCTTCCTATTGACAATTTTTCAACGTTCACTTTTAAAGAAAGAAAATATTGGACTTTGCAAAGGATGTAGTGGGGATTATCTTTGAATTCATCTACATGATTGGAGACGTAGTATTCGCCAACATTATATTTTTTCTTCATTGTTTGTTTTAAATAAAACATCATGCCTTTATTTATTTTTCATTTAACTATTCCTTTGGTTAATTATTCCAAAAAAAATATTGTCACTAATAAGAATCTTTCATTAATAAAGTCTTCTGAAATTCTATGAAATTTTTTGATAAATATGAATTATTTTAGGCTTCTGAGAAAACACTTTTGACGGCGAAGTACCTAAATATATTGAACATTTAGTCTAGAGAAAAAAAAGCGCACTAAGTGATCATGACGACCAATCTCATTTTCTTCTTCCTGTTCTAAGCATAAGATGCATATTTTGTCATGTTTTATGAACTTTTGATCTCGAATACTGTTCATTATCTCCATATGTTTCAGTGTATTATACTTCATACTCCAAGATATTTTCCACACGTGTTCTAAAAGACACGAGAAATGATATAAATTTGTGCTTTTGATTATGAAAAAGTTTTATTCTGAGTCTTACAAAAATAATTTATAGATTTATAGAAAAAAACTACACTATTCCATGAAAACATTTTGGAAATTTTCTCCCTGTGAAATGTTTTTCATTTCCAATTGCAAAAGTGAACAGTTCATGCAGGTAAAGACATTCTTATGCAGATAAATTATGTTTTACTTACCGTACAATGACATGGTCAATAAGATTTCTTTAAGCAGTAAATTACAATATTTAAATTCATATCTGAACCTTTATACGGAGACCTACTTACCTAGTGGTGGCATCGCGGCGGCGGCTCTCTCTCCTACAAAGACAATAATACATAACCATCAGTCCTTCATGGCTTTATACACTTCATTAAACCGAAACAATCAAATATTGAAGCCCCGGAAACACCCCCACAAATTACTCCTTGGCGTGTATTTTTACTCTTTACCCTCCCCATTTATAAACCATGGAAATTAGACAACAACCACAAACATGCCACTACCTCGTTATAGATTAAATTGATCGAGATCGAACTACAGAGGCGGACGTAAATTGATGATTTCTTGCTATAAGTCGATCGAAGGATTCACATTTTGTGTTTATTTTTATTTGAAGAGTCCCGTTTTATAAATACTGGTAGCTACGCCCAGTCACTGATCACTGTTTGGACAATGACAGTCGGGGATTAAGGGATTTATTTCTGGATCCGAAGTCCTTCTTTAAATAGCTCTGCGGTTTAAAAGGGAGATTGCTTCGGAAGTTATTAGTGTTGCTAGGAAAAGAAGTCTCCTAATTGACCTTTTTGTAAATTTGACTGACCCATGTAATCAAATTTAGAGATTTGTTGCTTAAATGTTACTTTTTGTTGGATAAATGTCTATTTGATTTGTTTTTTTCCCCCGTTTAGATAAAAGTACCAGTATTTCCATTTTTTTCACGACGCGTGGCTTAAAATAGATAATGTTTTATCTTAACCTCTTCACAAGTTATCCTTATTTAAATAACTCGCTTTTCTTTACAGAAATACGGACCAGCCGAACTTCTGTCATGTTTAGATATTGAATCATAGAATTTAATCATATTGCTCATTTCTTAAGCAGGAATTGGACCAAGTTCCTCTCTGGTTTCGCATTCTTCGTCTTTCTTACTTTAAATGATGAATATACACATGCATGCATTGTTAGTAAGTTTGGGACTAAAATTCAGTGTCATTTTATGAAGAAAAAAAAATGACTTTAATTGCCAGGATCTTCATGCTTATTGCTCTTTTTTCAACTCAAGAAATTGAAAAAAAGAGCAATAAAAATATAAACTAAGAAACTGGCAATTTTCATTTTTCGTTTCATTTTCAGTCATTTTTTCAAAAAATAAAACTGAATCTCTAACAATGCATATGTACAGTCATCGTTTAAAGTAAAGGACGAACTCTAATTCAGATGAAGAGAATTTATTTGGTCCAGTTTTCAGCCTATTGCGCAGTATAGTTCCATTTTGGTTATATTGTTTTTTTTTTTGTGAACAAATCTCTAATTATCACCACCCGACTAATTAATTATGTTATGGTTAGTTTTTTTTTTAAACAAAAAAAAAAATCAGTTATATGATACATTTATTTTAATTGATAAAAACTTATTTCAGTTAATTATAGCGCAACATTTTTAAGAAATTAATGTAAGTGCTTAAACGTTCAATGTTCTACAAGTTTTATGCATGTGATGAACATCAGTGCAGTTACACCAGTATACTTCCATTAGTTTTCAAATTTAGTTTTATTTAAAACAACTTATCTAATTTAAGTAGATTTTATGAAGACTTTGCGGTAGGCTTTCATGTATTTGTTGACATAACGAAAGTGAATAAAACGTATTCAGGATTAGCAATAAATAACTGGCAATAAAAAAAAGTATAAATTGCAAAACCCATTCAGCAATTAGCAATTGCAATAAAAATTGCGCAAATCTTCATTAGAAATTGACAATGAGCAATGGACGATCAATCAACAACCCACGGTCTGCCACGGTGTACAACTGACATGTAACGAATAGCAGTATCTAGTAGTAAAAGACTATTTGCATAAAGTTAAAGTGAGAATTAAAATGTTTTAGTGCACATTACGAGGGTTGTCCCGTTAAATCGTGGACAAGTTGTCTAGTTTGAAAAATAATCATCACTGCGTTCTGAAAGTTTCACTACTTTTTAGTACATATATTATAAATATACATAGCAAATTTCAAATAGATATGTGCATAAATAAACAAATTGTGATATTTTATGTTATGTATACTGTAGCGCACTACGGCGCACGGATGATAACGTCGACGTGTCTAAAACAGCGTCACGCTTCGTGTTTGCTAAAATAAAGTTGGATATGCCCCACTTAAATTTAGAAATTTGATTGATTTACATACGTGAGTGTTTATTACCAGTTAAGGAACCAATGTGGCACCCTCATGCGATCTTCTGAAGATTTATGAGCAAGTTACGGACAGTATTCTCACCATCAGTCAAGTAAATGAGAATCTCATATCGACGGTCGACAGTGACAGCGTCTTTTACTATTACAATGGCAGTCTGTCCGCATGTTTTGTACTATCTTCAATCAAGAAAACTTCGCTAAGAAAACGTCCATTTTATTTGTATACTAAAAATCTGGTGATATTTTTCATATTTTCGTTCTTCCGTATTCATTTAAAGTCTTTTAAAGTGTCATTAAAACATCCTAATCTAACTGAACTGCTCTCCGGTGCGCCGTAACGTCATGAAACGTCGCCATTTTTCGTTTATTGTGTATACAACTTTTCTATTTCGAATGCTCGGGAAACAGCCAAAATTTAACCAAATGCCTTGAAATTTTCAAAAAGACAATAGAATTTATTAAGGAATCGAATTAGGATAATTTTCATCCTAATCTTATGTATTGAAAACTTTTAGTACGAATTAATACTTGTATATTCTCTAATACAACCCTTGTTATTTTTACCGTGCGCCGTAGGACCGTACCCTGTGCACCTTCAAGCAGAATAAAATCTTTATTTTTGTATATATATTATCAAAAACATTATGATACACTTAAATATGTTGATTAAACATTTACTGAAAATTTCAGCTTAGTGCGCCCATTACTTTTCGAGAAAAACGCTTTGTCCACGATTTTACGGGACAACCCTCGTATATTTTCATGTTCATTTACAGGCCCAAACACAGTAAGTTGTTCGTGGAGTATTGTGTAAGCAAGTGGTTACATTTCAGTCCTTGGTCAACTTTCATCAACGTACAAAGCAAATTTAGTACTCTAGAACAACACTGCTAAAGATGTCGGTGGCGATTTGGATTTCGAGCTATATCACATTTTGACGAATTGGAAGATCTAAATTTGAGTCAAATTAAAAAAAACTTGGAGAGCATGCTGAGGATGCAGAAAATTTATAAATCTTTAATGAAAATGTGACTAGTTGATAAAATTATTGTTACTTCAGTATGGAAATGACAGTGTTTGGTTACAGGTATACAACAGGTATAAGTCGAATGTTTTATCGCTGCAAAGTAGTAACAATGAAATCTTGTCATCGATTTGTGTTAATCATAGGGTATAGGTGCATTTAAAAACAGGTCGTTATTTGTTTTTCAAGTGGAAGTCGGTCCGGGCTCAGGTGATGTGACAGCGGACATGTAATCAGCAGAAAATGTAACCTTTGAAGCAGGTACCTTTGGGAGCTGTCATGATAAATAGGGTCGTTAGAGACACCACTGTACTGGTATCAATAGCGGCCCCGTTATCACAGCATTAGTCAGCTATCTTTTTTGACAGTATTAACCAACATCAAGAAAATAAAAAAAAATCTAAGATTTATGTTTGAGAGATTGTCATTCCGGATTTAGTCTGAGCATCCTATCTATTCAAAACTTGTCTGTTTGTCTTTTCTTTGAAGTCATGTTTGGAGACATGTCCAGTAACAGACAAGTTAATCTCCCTTGATAAGTTAGCAACAAACCTTGACTGGTACTCACTTTTATCTGAGGGAGGCGTAACCTGGTTCTCTGTACACTCGTAAACCAGATAACTTTGTCCGGACAAAATCCGGGTCGTAGAGGCTCCAGCCTTCAGGCCGGCATCACAGAGAGCCTTCCGGATGGTGTCAATGTTGATACAAACGTAGTTCCGGTCATCCGTCTCAAGTTTCTGGACCGGAAGTACGACGCTGATGAAGCCATTTTCTTTCAGGATATCAGGGACGTGTTCGATTCCCTCATCGGATTCGTCGACGGACCTCCTGTGAATGCTGTAACGGCTGTTCCGTCTCTTGTGGGGTGCTGTGAACGACGACGTGCGCCGAGTGACGTTTCTATCACTTTCATGAAAATCTTTAGCTACCACAGAATCTCGTCTGCTAGTCTTTTGAAAAACGTAGGACGAGCTTTTTCTGAGTTTTTCATTGTTGTTAAGAGTCTCAATAGGTAAGGACGGCATGACTTGGTCTTCTGAAATATTCGGAAGGTTACGCTCTTGATCAATCTTTTCTCTTTCTAATTTGCATGATTTATAAATAAAATTCCTATCTCTTTTCGGCGGGCTGTTTTCGTACGTCAGTTCAGTGGAGCTTGACGGTCTCTGTAGGATTAACTGTCCCTTCTCTTGGTTACTCTCCTCGGAGGCTTTACACCTCACACCGAGATGAGCACAAGTGTCGGGGATGCGCAGCTTCCTGCCTCTGAGAAGAGTATTTCTTTTGTTATGTTTTTCTTCGGGTCGGGTATCATTTTCGCCCAGCTTCAAATTATCACCATTTAATGAGAGTGAAATGTGTTTCTTCGTGTTCACTTTTTCTAAACAATTCGATAATTGTTTGTTTTCTGACATACATTTCGTAACATGTACCAGTGGCACTTCAGTGTCCATTTCTCGTCCATTGGAGTTAATTGTGTCCATTTTTATGCAGGGATGAGGTCTAGGTTCTCATCTGATCTCAAGTTCAAACGTATATGTCTCCAATTATCTAAAATATGATACAGTATTATATACACATTAGGGAAAATTAAGAGCATTTTGTGGCAAGTTTCTTATTGTGATTAGAAAGTGCGTCAACAGGCCAGACTTATTTATTCATTAAACAGGTTAAATAAGATAACATTGAGTAAAATATCGGAGAACACATTTCACAGCCTCGTGAAGGTACTTAGTCAACGTTTTAATGGTGTGTAAAGCAATACATGTAGTCTACGATAAAGAAAAATCTCACGCGCGCCGGGTGCGCCCCCCCTTACTCTTCACTAATTGTGTAAGCAATGACGGCTATTGATCAATCTATCTACTGGTACGAATGGCAAAAGACCGCAATATTACGTACTTGGAATAACTGAAATACTTTCTTGGTTTCGTTATTTAAAATTCGTATAAATAACGTATTATTAGTATATTTAGTACTATCATGATTACATTTATCTTTATACTAATACAGAAAGATTAACCATTGCATGCATGGAAATAGGTGCATTACAGAGTTTGTTTGTTTGTTTTTGTTTTTTTTTGGAAAATCGTTTTGTGAATTCAATTGCTTAAATATTGTTTTTAAAATCAAATTGAATTAATTTTAAGTTTTAAAAGTACATGTACTATTAAAAGCTAAAAAAATTGAACAAGGATAATCGTTTTTTTCCGTAAGAAAGACAATATTTTAATCTGTGAACTTTCACATGAAGTCACATATAAATTGTATTCATTAAATTATATTAATATTCTTTTAACAAATTATTTAAAAAAAAAAAAAATAAAACACACTTGAATACTCACACAAATAAAGACTGTGAAAACAAGGTATAATTTGACCGTTGTTATCTTTTAAGACGGGGAATAAGGACTTTAAATGTGAGATAAGGATTATGAGGGGAGAACATTGTATCCGTTCAGGGGATGTTCTATCTGCCGGACTCAGATAACAGGTCAACGATCCCCGGGATAAAACGCACACATCACTCTCCAAGACACTTCCGGTTGTCGTAACACGTCTAAGAAGTTGGATCTATTTGCTTTTGTAATCAAAGGACAAATAAAGTGTGAATGATTCTACCAGTTAAAACTTTCAAATTTTTCATGATCTCAAAAGGTTTTAATGTCAGTTATCAAAAGCAAGTGCCCATGGAATATACATGTATCAATTTCTAAAAGTATGTTATTCGCCATTCTTTTATTTTTGCAACTGGAAATTTTGTATTTTGAATATTTGTAATTTATTTCCAGGTAAAATACATTTACCATGCAGATTGCTTTTGTGTTATATTCATTATCCTATATGTAACATATTTTTTAAACTGATACACAAAGCTGAAAAAAAAAATCGTTTTTGTCTGAGCATGATCTGAACAGTGACCCAGGTGAGCATGACAGGATATGTACAGTACTAATATAGGCCTTGTCTTGTGAACGTAATTATGGCGAACCTGATGAACTGTGGATCGTATGTGCAGAAACTAAAATAAAAAAAAGAAAAGTAAATGCAGTTCACTATCGCACCATCAAGTATCAAATAAGGGGTCGATGTTGCGATATCGACAAAGCGATTTTGCGATGATGGTGTAATGACGCGATGACGATGCAATGGTGCGAAAATGCTATCCGGATTCTATATAGCACTGTTGTACTATCGCTTCGTCGCCACCCAACCATCGCATAATCGCCCATGCGATAATGAAGTATACATTCATCCTGGCGAGCAAAATAAAAAATCAAAGTACTCAGAAGTACAGAGAGCCGGGCTCATTTACAGAGTAGAATGGATTTCTTACATGAATCACGTTTATATTCTGCTGAAAAAAATTATTTTAAAACTATCAATATAAATAATAAGACACTGACAGTGAGTTTTTCAATCCTAATACCACGGTCCGATTTTGTCAGAATCAGAATTAATCTGGTACCGCAGCTGAATGTAAACAAACAGGCCAGTCTGGTTCCCTCTCCTGCTTTACCTCGTATGTGTAGAACTACCGTAACGGTAACACTGATTATCAAAAATCCTTACACCAATGAACTATGTTCTTTGACTTACGAAGTTTTCAAAGTCATAACTACAAATGTTTATTTTATATAGATAAAACTTCGTTTTATTTTTGTTGCTTTATTTAGCGTTTGTATTATCTCAAAAGCGGTTGAGAGTAAGAACTATATTTTTGCACGTAACTTTAAAATGGCGACTATTGGGTTAACATCCTGTCTTGAACAGGATCACATAAGCCGGCAATTGCTCTTTGAGCAATAAGCCCGGTGTAAAGACGAATAATGACCCCCATCGAATAATGACCGGGGGTCATTTTTCGACAGCGAAAAATGACCCTTTTGCCCGTAGAAAAAGTGTCACTTCCCTAAAAATTTGCAGAACCCACGTGAAGAAAAATGACCCCCGTAGAAAAAAGACCCTGTAGATTAAAGCTAAAGTTTTAGGGGGCAAAAAAAAATTGGATAAAGAAGCATATTGGCCAAAATGCTCACCTGAGCTTATTGGGAATGACCTGATGATATGTTGATCTCAAAACATTATACAATTATAGCTATATTTTAAGGTAAATACAATGATTCAGAATCTAAAGGAGTAAAAGATTTATCAAGCCTTAGGTAAACATTGTTTTTTGATGGTGGAAATCATCGAACTGACAGAAAAAAAATCAGCAGTATTATATATTATTTAATCCTCCGCTTGAAAAGCGGGAGGGTATATAGTGATTGGGATGTCCGTCCGTCCGTCTGTTACGCTTTGAGGTATCCATCTCTTATCCGCAAATCCTCATATATAAAAAGATGTGTTTGTGAAACAGCTATGCCCCTGTATGGCAACATAGCGAAGATTAAACTTTTCTTAAATGCAATTTAAATATATTGTTACCCAAAGTAGGGTCTTCTCACAAGAAATACAACTGCAAAATAGGAAAGCCCTAGCACCACTTGTTCAAAAGTAATGGCTAAGGATAAGTTTTTGAAAGGTAGGTCAAACTCAAAGGTCAAAGTTGATGATTTCTTAAGAAAATGTTTAATGTAACAAGGATTACATATGTGAAGTATGAATACCCTAGCCTTACCGTTCAAAAGTTATGGCCAAGGTAAAAAAAAATCATAAGTACGGAAAACTCCAAGGTCAAGGTCAAAATGTCAAGGTTTTTAGTATCCAATGAAAGGTAATGCCAAAAAACTAGTATCTACCGTTTAAAAGTTATGGCCAAAGTAAAAATTTGGCATTTTTGTGTAAAATGGGACAAACTCCAAGGTAAAGGTCAAAAGGTCAAATTTGGTGGTACCCAAAGTAAGGTCTTGTCACAAGGAATATACATATTAAATATGAAAGTCATAGCTCCAATAAATGAAAAGTTATGGTAAAGGTTAAGGTTTTGTGGACAAACAATCCGCCACAATGTTTTCAATCTTCAATATGATGAAGAACATAGCCAAATGATTACAAAAAATGATTAAAATATATACCTTTCCCCTCTAACTAATGAACGATAGGCTATTTACCGATACTCATATTCTTGACCTTTTTGCACTTACACGGGATTTAATATTTAAATGACTGTTTGGGGTTACTTACAGATTTACAAAGTGCATTTTTATCAAAAACTGTACTAAGCTATTTAAAAAGATCATATTTGATAGAAAAATTGTAATCAAACACCAAGAATATGAATAGGTAACAAATAATATAAAAGGCTTGTCAACTTCAGGTCTAGATCTAGTAAATAAAAGGTGCCTACATATTTTCTCTTATTCCAGAAATATATTGCCATTAAGCATTATAAACCAAAAAATATATGAATTGAATCAAGATTATGTTGGCATGATTGAATTCTGTGAATTTCAAAATGCAGTATTTTCTACCATTTTTATTGAAGCTGTCAAGTACGGGAAAAAGTTGCATTGAATTAATTATGACGTCTTAATGGGTTAGCACAGGTTTAACACATTTACAAGTTATGATGTCACACGAAGTATGTTCTACGTTAAAAGAAATGTAATGAATACTGTGTGCTAAATCAAAAGTTTATGTCTACATGTATAGTTTTTGCAGAATGACTGTGTATTTTACACTAGCCCATAGCTTTACAGAGCATATTTTTAGGTCTTATACTTACCTCACCCCCTTTCTTATTTAGGAGGAAGTCGATATTGAACAAAAGCAAAAAAAAACCACCCTACCTTTATTTTTCTATAAGAAGGAATTAAAAATAAGCTTAAAATAATCTACTATTCTACTAATTTTTAACTGTTACTTTGCCACAATACTTTAAAGTATACCTCCACCAACACTTAAAGTATGCTTTAATCATGGCGAAGTAAATTATGATATGATAGTACTTGTGTGAAGGCTTAACTTCATTTCAATATTTTATCTAGAGCCTCTTTCAGAATTATTGAAAGGTATAGAGTTTTATTTATATTTTTGCTTTTCATTTATTATTATTTTTTTTATTTTGATTTAACGTAATGTTCTCTTTTTATGGGGGGGGGGGGGATAAAAATTTCTTCCTCTTTCATTGTCAAATAGGATTTGCCAAACTTAAACAAACTAAAAGTTGAAATGACGGAAAATTTAATTTTTCCTATTAAAGAGTATTTAAACCTGATTTTTGCATGGTTTGATTTCTAAAAACAAGTGGAATATCATTCTTTAAGCAAACATTATAAGGAGGAATATTAAAAAGAAATTTTATTTACTTGACAATTAAAGAATCTCTTTTCAAACACAATTTTAGCATTGAAAGACTACGTGAATCTCTTAACTACTAGTATTTCATACGACTTTTTGTATTTTTCTGGTTACAGAAAATGTAAAAATTAGTTTCGCTGTAAAAAAGATATCAAAGAGTGTATATTTTGTATCACTTTAAAGGGGGTCATTTTTCAATGGGGGTCATTATTTTATAGGACTAACATATAAAATAATGACCCCCTAGGACCCTTTTTCTACAAAAAATTATTTTTTTCTA